TAGAACGTTAGAAATGAAACACTACTAGTATTAATTAGATCCAACTCTTCTTTTTAAGATGATGTAGCTGAGATGTAAAGCAAGGGTAAAGGCTTTGCTCAAAATTCCACATCACATCAGTAACAGATCTAAGACCAGAATTTGGGACTCCTTCCTCTTAGACCAAAGGCCTTACCTTATATTATTTTATTGAATTGTAATGTTTTTTTCTTTAGTTCTGATGTTTTTGGAGGAAAACAGCATGTCTTTTACTTCTTTGTAATTTGAAAAAATACATTTAGCAGATCTAAGTAAGAGGCATAGCAACAAGGACACTTTAGCTTCAAAAGGGAAAATACATAATGAAACATTAATAAATTGGTACTATCTGTCTAGATTTCAGTGTTGAAAAAGATTCAGAGGCTACATCTAAACTGAGTAGGAAAGAATATCATGGCTGACTAGTGACATATGCCATGGGTTCAGGAGAAAATGTGATACATATGTCAGATATGTGTGTTTTCCTCCGTCCAATAATCAGTCCTTTTCAACTATATGAATCCCCTGGGAAGGGTATACATGGAGAAGATAAGGAGAATATGTATAATATGGATACCTACCTAGTAACCAGGACAGAAGAATCAAGCCTAGCTACTAACGTGATGACATATGCTCCTGCCAATTGTCTCATTAACTTCTTTGTAATCCCTAATCTATAGACATGTAGTAAGTGCTCAATATGGACTTACTGATTGATTGACATTTGAATATAAATACTTTCACAAAAGAACTGCCCCATCCATCTTTGGTAACCTCAGGTTAATTCCAGTAGTTGGCACTTATCAGGTGCTTTAAAATTCCCAGTGGAATAAAAATATCACCTTCAGAGGATGATCATGAATCTCTAGATTATCAATACACAATCCCATCTGACATAAAATAGAAAATATTGTAATCTGATGACTGTACTACACAAGTATAATGTCCTCTATTTTCTTTGTATCACCTCTCAGAGTTGCCCAGATGGCACGAAAGAAAAAGGGGGATTCAGAAAATCATCCTTTAACATATGGGATTTTATGAGTCAAATTGCGGGGAAAATCCGACTCCCCGTGGACTTCCATTTTGTATGTCATTCTTCTTCCGTAGGCTCAGCTTAAATGATGTCAGGAGTTGCGGGAGTCAAAATAGCGTGGGGGCATGGATCCAACATTGACTCATATGCTCTGTGGAAGAAATCGACACCAAAGTCTGGATGAGATAATTTGGTTGTGAGTGCTAGAGATATGACTGCTGATCACACAGGAAAAAGGGCAACCAAGGTGTAAGTTTTGTCTTACAACTACCTACTCAAACTTAAGGATAGCATGAGCTATGACTAAAAATCTTGCTGACGCTTAATGTATAACCATAGCCAGTTTTCAGAAAGAATGTCTAGCTGAAAAGAAAAAAGAAAGTTTTCAGTCCCTTTGTTTTACGGATATGGTCACACTTGGGCTCCTGGTGGGTTTGCAAAACTTTGAAAGAATACCTTGGTGGTGAATTATTCTGCAGCTTCAGTGTTGGCTGAACCAACAAAGTGTGAAACCTCTAGTTTGCATGTGCAACCTAAGGTGTTTTACAGTCAGAAAAGAGAGAGAATGTCTTTGGTAAAGTTTGTAAGACAGGAAAAGGTCATAAAAGTATATACTACTATAGTAACAATATGCTGAACCAAAGAACTGTGTGTTAAAAGATGAAAATCTAATACCTGAAGATTCACTTCTAGCCTAGGATGCAAGACCAGCTATATAGTTTGCAGGAACTAGTGCAAAATGAAAATGGGGTCCCCTTGTTAAAATCCTATTAGGGATTTTAGGAATGTAACAACAGTGCATTAAACCAAACGTGGGCTCTTTCTTCTAAATGAATCAAGAGAATAAGTGGGGGTCCTGATAGATGGTGCAGGTTTTATGTCCATGAATTTGGGCCTGCTGCGATTTCTAATTTTAAACCTTTTATTTGCAGTCTTACTATTTCTTAAGGAATTAAAGCATAACTTTTATCTCACAAATTCTACAGAAAAAAAATCCAGAAATCAAAGTCTGGTAGGATATAATGATTTGAATTTACATATCTAACACAGTTTTAGACACATACAATCACCTTAATGGATATTGATTGATTGGGGGACAGGTAGAGTAGGGAAAAGGTCTTGGTTCTATACTCAGCTCTGCGTTTTCCAGTTGAATGAACTTTAACACAGCACTTTGTTTTTCTGGGTCTTGATTTACACATCTAAAATGTGAGGGAAGAGGCCATAGATCATCTCTATAATTTCATGATTCTGTGTTATGCTTAACATAATTCTGTGTCATGCCATCGGTGTTAGTAGAGCTTGGATGTTAGCCATGAAGTTACTAATCCTAGACATCAGGCCATATTCTAAACATATTTCTAATATATATCTGTAACTTTAAATAGGCACTTTCAATTTACAAAGGCCCAGACAATATGTAATTCCCATTTGCGTATCTCACTATTCTGAACTCTCACCCTGAGTGCTATATTCCAGTGAATGAATCAGGAGAATAATTGTAACTCCTTTCCATAAAGTTGCGACTATTTCTTCAAAGTTGGGAATATTTCTCCCAGGAATATGGAGTTTGGCCAATGGTTTCCTAGAAGGTATTGAATGCTTGCAGTGTATCTCAAGGCTTTGGTAAGGTTTTCTTATCACTGTGTTACCTGTAAGCATACTACATGGGCCATGTGTTTCCTTGGGGACCACTACTGACATGAGGCTTTGATTGAGGCTATGTTTTGATCTTGTTTATTCTTTGGGCAGATAGCCCCTCAAAGAGTTTTCAGGCCTTTTTCACATAAAATATACAGGGAACTGTCATAAGAAGCAGGATTTGGCTAAAGACATGGCATCATGTTTCCAAAATAATCATATATTCTATTTAATTAAAAACTAGTTTTATACAGGTTAGGTCTGATAACATTGGGATTAGAATGTGAGGGGAAATAACTCAAAGTAGATCCTAAATTCAGTATTCAAATTCATGTGTATTCAGTGGTGTCTGTGGCCAAATCTTCAGGCTAAAAGGTTTTTAGGGAAGAAAACAGTGTTGTAATCTAATGAACAAAATAAATTGATGAACAAAATAGATCTAGAGACATAGAAACATAGAACAGACTGTGGAATCTCAGAGGGAAGGCAGGGGATGGTGGGTGGGTGGGAAGAGGTCAAACAAAGAACTTGTATACCTATATGCATAACCCATGGACACAGACAATAGGGTGGTGAAGGCCGGGGACGGGGGTGGTGGAGGTGGGCTAGAAGGGGTCAATAGGGGAAAAAGGGGGACATATGTAATACTTTCAATGTGTGTTTTTTTTAAAAAAAGGAGAAGAAAGAAAACAATGTTGTAGAAGCAATGAAACAACTTTTGATTTTAAGGAATTTAATTTAACAAAGGAGACAATACATGAATAACTAACTCTTATACAAAATTGAGGGATTGGGATTCTAAGAAGAATATAAACCAAGTGCTAGGCTGGTGTGCTTAATTTTAAAAAGGATAATTTGGTGAGAACTCATGGAAATAATGCTTTTAAGTCTGGGAGTGAATGAATGGATATCACCCTCAGGGGCACAGATAAAGAGAATGAGAGCTCAAGGCCAAAGGAATAGTATAAGCAAAAGTTCAGCGCATGTTTATGGGAATGTCTAGTCATTCACCACGCCCAAATAATAATAGATAACTTTTACTGAGTGCTTACTACATGCCAAGCAAAATTCTTAGCACTTTATATGTATCGTGTGATTTAATTTTCAACTGAGGCCTAGAAGTAGATACTAATATTAGGCTTATTTGAGAGTCATAGATGCTCAAAATCACATAGTTAGATAATAGTGGAATCAGGATTCAAGTCTGCATCCATAGACATGATATTTTAGTGCATACAGTGCAGGTTGAAATGCAAGATGGGCTGGAACCAAAGAGTGGCAGGCCTTCTGTGATATCCTCACATGTTTTACTTCATAAATAAATTACTGAAGGAGGAGAAAGAATCCTATTTTTTGCATTTGGAAGGAAAAGAAATATAGAAGTAAAAAAATTCTCTATTGTTAATGATTATTTGGAATGATTGATCATCCAGAGCTATATTGTTCAACACAGTAGCCTCTAGCCACATTGACTTGAGCATTTGAAATCTGACTAGTCTAAACTGAGATTTTCTGTAGGTATATAATGTGTACCAGATTTCTAGGATTTAGTATGACAAACAGAATTTAAAATATTTTAATAATATTATATATATATACATATATATATAAATATTTTGAATATATTGGTTTAAATACAATATATTTAAAAATTATTTTTGCCTGTTTCTTTTTACCTTTATTAATGGGGCTACTAAAAAAATTAAGTGTATCTATTTAGCTTACATGAGATTTTTATTGGGCAGTGTTGGTCCAGAGCAATTTAAAATTGTACTAATTCTGATGAAGGATTTCCTCAACACTTTGGTCTTTTAACCACATTCTTTCCTTGCTTTCTGGCTATTTGCAAGAAAAAATGTAAAAAGCACCCCCTTTGTAAAGGTTCGAGAGCCCCTAGAATTTCCTTTTCACTTGCTCCCAACCACAAACAAATTATCAATGTGCTCTGTCAACACATTGGAGCCAACATTTTACAAGGGCAAAAGGAGTGCAAAAAAATTTCCAATCCCTGAATGGTGTGAAGTAAAAGTGCTTTCAGAGAATTCCACAAGAATGGCACAGTGGGCATAATGGGTCTGTCTCATCATCAAAAGACCCAAGGAGTTGAAAGGAAACTCTAAGTACAATACCAAATGCCACAAAACCATAGTTATTAATACAAACTAACTAGCATCTCTGTCTATCTGTCACCATCTCATCTTAAAAAAAACTTGTGAAAATACGTAATCCTGATGAGACTCCAATTAGGTATAAATACCAGCAACCAAAGGAGAGGCAGTACATTCTTCTTAACATCTACAGATTGGCTATTAGAAGAGAAAGATCAGCTGAGTCCTTTGGACCCGATCAACTCAATTCCGGAACTACTGATTTCAACGACTTCGGCCCAACGCTCTCCAAGACAATGAAATATACAAGTTATATCTTAGCTTTACAGCTTTGCGTGATCTTGGGTTTTTCTAGCTGCTACTGCCAGTCCACAATTTTTAACGAAACACAAAAACTAAAGAGATATTTTGTAAGTATGACCTTTTAATAATACTTGTTTGTGGTTGAAATGACTGAACATTGACTTGGAATGTATCTATGACAGGCTGTCATCTCTAGTCCACAGTCATCTTGAAAAGACTTGGTGTTATTTTGACTGTTGACTGGATGAGTTTTAATTCAATGATCTGGGTTTTGTTTTAACCCTCTACTCAAATATGTTATAGAAGTTAAGAGGGCATTCACGAATCTTTAAAAAGATGGCTATAATATGGATATAAAACAGGTTGATGTTGATAATTTTGTGTTAAGAATCCATGCAATTGTGATGTTAAGTAGCAAATAACATGCTGAAAAAAAAAAAAGACTGGCTATTAATTTATGATTTCTCAGACTACCATGATGGTGATAGTAAAGTGTCAAGATTAGCATTAAAATGATAATCTGAAATAATTAATCAATTAAAGAAGGTGAGGTTCTTAAAGCTTTGGCTTTAAAAAATCACTTATAGGTGTTTTTCTCCAAAAAGTGATTTTAAAAAATCTACTAGCCCATCTATGAATTACCCTTAAACTCAGTCCCTTGTTGAGATTCTCTAGGAGTTATAATTTCACTTGTATTTCAATATTTTTGTTTTGTTATGTGATTTTCTTTTAAAATTATAGTTATGGTTACTTAAGATAGTTTTTGCATCTTAAATATTTTATTTGTCCAAAATTATCTATTATAATTATAGCTGTTATGTTTAAGCTTTCACAAGCGATGCTATTCTCACAACATCATATCAAATCTCTCTCTCACACCTGGAACTATCTTTTAAAGTTGACTTAACATCCAATAGGACACAAGTAGATATTATAAAGATCTGTGCCATAGGGGGGCAGTATTTTATAGTGGGTTGCTGATTTTCTTACTAGGCTTGAAAACACTTAAAAACCCCCACTATGGTTATTTGAGAAAATTGAAGTATCATCTGCCTGTTGAGTTCATTTGTGACGTTGCAATTTAAGGACTATATGAAAGTTAAAATAGCATGGTAGTATTTGGCCATATCCAACATAACAGCTCCTGGGGATACTTGCTAGAAATAAACAGAAGATTGAAGAGAAAATCATTGAATATTGTCAGCATCTAAGTGTGACACAACTTGTACTTTTAGGGCAATTTATGAAGTAATTGTAAACTGATTTCCTCCCCTTGTTTTTCCAGAATGCAACAAGTCCAGATGTAGGGAATGGTGGACATCTTTTCTTAGATATTTTGATGAACTGGAAAGGGGTAAGCTGAATATTTTCATATGATTGATTTTCCTATTGCTTATTTTCCAATGGATAAATTCATATCAACCTCTCTTTGTGCTCTTTCTTCCCAAGGAGAGTGACATAAAAATAATTCAGAGCCAGATCGTCTCCTTCTACTTCAAACTCTTTGAAAACATTGAAGATAACAAGACCATTCAAAATAGCCTGGATATTATCAAGGAAGAGCTGCGTGTTAAAGTTTTCAACAGCAGCAACAGCAAAATGGAAGACTTCAAGAAGCTAATTCAAACTCCAGTGAGTTGATCTTATTTCTTTGCTTGATTTCATTGCAGAGGCTCTTGGAAAAGTACTTAATTCCCAGAAAGTATAAATTAGCTACTGGGTACAGTTGTTAAAACTACGAAATAAGTCCATGGCCAAAAGTCCTTACTAATTCTATTTGTGCTTTTGGGTGATTTTTAATAATCCATATGGGGGTTATTTAATTTTGTGATTTGGAAAAAAATGCTGGCATTGTAACTGTTGCACAAAGACAGGTGAATGGACAAATCCAGTTAGGAAGAAGCAGTGAAGATGTTGAGAGGAGTATTGAAAAACAGTTCTCTCCTTTGGGTTTGGCTTTGATATAAATATGAGAAAGGGAGGGGTCATGATATGACTTGTGCTATCAGGATTTGTGCCCAACTCTTACTATATCCAGAACTGAAATAAATGCTAGCTCTTCAGGATTTTTCTAGTCCCCAGTAAATTAGATGGTACATGACTTGGAAAAATTATAAGATGATAACTACTTTCCACTGATAATGTTTCCAAATATTCAGAAGTTCTCTTTTGGCCACAAGCTAGAGATTTTAAAAGCACGTTCCTAACCCGGTGCTGCCCTTGGCTTCCTATTAGTCCTGGATAAGTCTCATAGCTTCCTGGTGATGCTTTGATCATTGGAAAGTAAAATTTATCACTTGCAAACACACAGCTATAGAAACTCTTTCTACTTTGCTGTAACTAGACCTTGAAAAAAAGCTGTTGGTCCCATCCTCTGTAAGCTCACAGCTTCCTGCTTTCAGGATGGGCAATCTTAAGTGAACTCACAGCCGGTTTCCTCTTATACTTAATTGCTAACGTATTTGAGGCATGTTATGCCAGTAAGTGATTACTCTTGCAGCCTAGAATTCTCCTAGTCATTCTCAGGAATGTGACAAGGTGGCCACAGAGTTTCCAGCATTAGAAAAAACATAATAACATAATGGCAGAGCCAGGGTGAAAGTAAATGGTCCTTATTTTATTAAACACGAATTTACCTAAATGTTCCTATTGGCTTATCTGAGGGAATAATTCAATGTACTGGAATAGAAGGCAGAATACAGGGAGATTTGCTGCAAATCCAATTTTAAATGTTTATAGCAGTACTTGCTTATTGCCATATAAAAATGATTTGTTTTATTTTTAATCCCACTATGGAAATGACGAGACTGACATAATTTTGGGGAAATTAAAAATTATGGTATTCATTTGTCTTGGACTTGGTATTTAAAAAGGACTAAACCTACTTCAGTGGTTCTCAAACTTTGGTGGGTACCAGCATCCCCTGCAGAGCTTAGTGACCAAACAATGACCTTGGCCCTCTTCCTACACCTGGACCTCTGAGTTCTTCATTAGGTCTCCAGGTTATTCTGCTAGACACCAAAAGTGACACCCACTAACCTACTGTAACTAATTTGATATAGCAAAGACTGAAGTACAGGTGGTAGAATTTATAGAGAACCTAGTTATCTAAAACATAGGTTGAGAGAGGTTAAGTGACTGGTTCAAAGTTATTGCTCACAAAGAATTCAAACCGAAAAGCTCTGCCATTCCACTTCAGAGGCTTTTCACTAGGTGGTTTTGGGAATTCTGGAGCAGTGAACTTAAGGGAAAGGTGTGTGTCCCGCCCTATTACAGCAAAACTGGCAATTTAGTTATAATCTTAACGACTGAAGAAATCACTGTTCTATATTAAGATAATATATCGCCAGTAAAAATCATCTTTTTTAAAGGAATACTTTCATTTTCATGAACCATAACATCAACAGTAGAATATCCCGATAGCTTGTATGCCTGAAATTAATATTGTTGTATCCTTTTCAATAGGTAAATGATCAGAGGGTCCAGCGCAAAGCCATATCTGAACTCTACAATGTGATAACTGAGCTGTCAAAATCTAACTCAAAGATGCGGAAAAGGCGTCAGAATCTGTTTCGTGGCTGGAGAGCATCGAAATAATGGTCATCTTGGCTGCAATATTTGAATTTTTAAATCTAAATTTATTTATTAATATTTAATATTTTACATTATTTATATGGGGAATCTATTTTAAACTCAGAATCAAATTATTTATAATAGCAATTTTTATCTAATGAAAACAAATATCTATTAATATATGTATTATTTATAACTTCTTTAATCTATGACTATTTCACTTGACCCTTCTTTTCTGACTAGGTAAAACTATGTGATTTATAAGGCTTTATCTCAGGGGCCAAGTAGGCGGCCGACTGAAGCAAGACCCTGTGGGTTGTGCATTTAGTTCATTTGCTGATATAATGAACACTTATAAATGAAATGATGTTATACAGTTCCTGTCTATTTGAAATCATGTCTGCATTCTGAGCCACTGCTTTAATGGCATATCACACAGCACTTGAATGTGTAGGTCATATGACTTGTCCCCTGATAAAAAACATAGTATCTCATCTCATCTCATGCCTGGTGCTTCCGAATATCACTGATAATTGTGACTGTATCCAAATGCAAAATATTTTATTTTTCCATTTATCAATATTTAATATATATGAATAAAGCATAATTTCATAATTATTTATGTTGTGTCAGACATTTTCTAAGGAGGTCTGTGGTAAATGCACTATGTACTAATGAATTAATAGGAGGAAAGCCATTTTAAGCTTGGAAATCTTAGAAGTGGATTAAGCTCCATTAAATGTGGTGTTTCCACTGACAATTTGTTCGCTTCCACTGCTCCATTTGGCAGCTGTTTAAATTATCTTTCCAAAATATAGATTTAACTATGTCACCATTTATCTCAGAGCGTCTGCTTTGGAAAGTAGTCTACATTGTTTAGCTTGGCACACAAAGATTTATTTATACCTTCTCCCTCAACTTCCCATTGCAGCCTTCATCTTGGTACCCCCCTCCCCCATCTCCTCTGTCCACCTTGGGCAAACATCCCTGGGTTTTGAGTGATTCTGAGCTTCAGGGAAAGAGGCCTGGATTAGAACCTTGGTTCTACCATTACCAAGTAGTGCTGTTACTATCATTAGCTGGTTAATATTAGTAATAGGAAGAGAGCAAAGGGGAAGTCAGATGTTATAAGCATGGTCATCTGGGCAGCTTCACCAGGAAATTCCAACTTAATACTCCCCAGGGAACCACTGGTCCATTCCCTGCAGATCAATGGGAGAAAGGATTGGACAAAGAGAGAGATGGGCACATGCACAGTGAAGTCGGGGTGGTGTAGGGAAGATGTTTGTCTGTCCATCCAATCTGGGAAAAAGGTAATTAGCTAAGGGGTGGAGCACTGCAAGCACATGAAATCTTAGAAGGTTATAATCCCCCAAAAGTTCCCTTGCTTGTTCCCCTTCACTCTCTTGCTCACTCACCCGGATGCTCGTGTGTTCTCTCTCCATAGCCATGTGGCCTTAAGCAGCCGCATGGTCCATGGCCATGTGAACCCCACATGCAATGGACTGCAGCTGGGAACGAGGTAAGCTCATCAGATGCTGAACCGGAGTGTGCCTTAATATGGAACAGAAACTCTGGACACTGGCTTTTGCCTTGAGCCTTCTGAAGACAAGATGGGACTTTGTCCATGGCAGGATGGATGAAGATGGGTCTTTGGAAGGGAACCCCCTTAATTTTACATCACTAATAAAGCTTTCCATGAAACGCCATTCTCCAGTGGAGGCTTCAGGAAATTCGTTTCCTCATGGCACCCCAAAGAATCCACTTCCATTGATAATAGTGTGACTTTTAATGAATTACTTATATTCCCTACGCTCCAGTTTTCTCATCTGATAAAGAATAATTGTGCATTCCCCATACTATTGTAGCACACAGAAAGTTCATTATTGTTAATAGGTTGGAAGGTGGATTATATGAATTCTGATGTTGGTTGGTGGGTAAATGTGGTGGTAAAACTTTTTTACTGGTTGTTTAAAATTTTCTCAGTGAAATAGGAAGCCGAGAGAGAGGTTCAAGAAGGAAGTGTTGGAGGCTTGGAAAGAGCAGAAGAATGAATGGATCAGGGGAGCAGAATGTGTATTGCCAGGCAGCATTAAAGGCTCACTTGGGGTCAGCAAACATGAAGTTAAGAGACACCAGTTGGTGTAGTGAGTGTTTGTCTCTATCTATATAGGACTATAGGTGAAGATAGAGATAGGGAGAGAGTTATGTTTAGCAGACTTTAATTTGTCCAAGCAAGTAGGACAGAGGGAGAGAAGGCAAGAAATCATGTGGAGATTCAAGGGTGTACTCATAACAGTTAGTGAATTGGTGATGAACTCTAAGCTGGTGAAGGAGGAGAGAGTATGTCAAGGTTGCTGAAGAAGTGTTTGGATAAAAGGCTCTCTGCCTCACCTTTAGGTCCAAAAGATGAGAGAAAAACAGCCACCATTTGAAGGGGAAGTAGGGAAAGCAGACCTTAGAGGAGAATTAGTTTATCTTTTGAGTATGAGGAAGTTGAAGTGTGATGGATTTGGTTAGTGCTAGATGGTGAATTCCAGAAGACCCAGTGAGTAGGGGTAAAAGAGAAGGTCATAAAAGGGAATGTTCATAGGAACATGTTGTGAGTCTGGGACTCCTTATGATCACTGACATAAAAATAATGGTTGTAAATGTAAAGAGATTAGTTCTGCTGGTTTGGGGTGTATAGTGATGTCAAGATTATGAAAACAGAGAGGGTTAGGTGTCTGGGGATTCCTTCTCAACTATTTCACTTAATCCTTCCACAACAATAGGGTTGTGTGAAATATTTCATGTTGAGGGATAAGTTTAGTCCTTGACAATGATCAATGCTCATTGTTTTGATTATTGGGTAGGTAACTAACAGTGGGTGAGACTTGATTCCAAAAGTATTGAATCTTTGATCAGGCAAGATTGAAAAGAAATTGGGCTGATCCTGGCACAGCTGCAACTGATTCGAGCTGTGACTGGTGTCTCTACTCTTGTTAGAATTGAAGATTGATTAAGGCAGACTTTAAGATATCTACAGATAGAGGGCTACTGTAAGATAATGCTGTCTGGACCATAGAGTGGAAGGGATTGAAAATTTCTACTGTCATTTGTTTTAAGAAGTCATTAATCTTGAAATGGTAAATGAAGCCCCAGGTGGTAGGCCTTGGTCTATAGCTACATAAAGCATCACACTCTCTGAGGCTGGTGTTTGGTATAGGCTCTGAGACATGGAAAGCTATTGGCTGTAGTGGGCAATGTGATGGAAACTTGGAATGAGACAAGGAGAATACTTTTTAAGAGAACTTGAGTTGAGTTGGCCTGGGCAGTAGGTATAGATTATTTATATTGTGTATTCCACCCATATGTACATACCCAATTTTCAAAGAGTTGTGGGCCTTAGGGAAGTGATGGCCTGTGCTTTAGACTAAGGGACCTAGGGGATAGCAAAATTCCTCTCTCAACACCAGTAGGGGCAGTTATCTCCTTAGGTTCATGGCAACAGGGGCCGCAGCCAGGGCAAGCAGTGAAGGAATCCTCTTGTATAATGTCCCACCCTTGGTGACACTAAGAAATATGTGGTGCACCCTTATGGCAGGGTGATGTTGGCAATTAGGCTAGAGAACTTGAGCAACAACAATGAATTTTTCTCTTCACTTTTTCCATCCCTTCCCATCCTGAACAATATAATCAAAGCAACTTGTCACGTCAGTATGAAGTAGGCACTCATAGTTGCCCACTATGGGGAGTCATAATCTAAGCAAGGTTAGAAGAGTATAAATGAAGGGGGAAAATCTCTTGGGGAAGGTGTCGGCACCTGAGCAGAATGAGGAGATTGCCCAAGAAGGAATAGGAGAATATATTAGTTTTCTAGTGCTATCATAATAAATGATCACAAAGTTAGTTGCTTAAAACAACACGTTTGTTATCTTAGAGTTTTGGAAGTGAGAAGACCAAAATCAGTCCCCGTGGGTAAAATCAAAGCATCAGTAGGGCTGCATTCCTTCTGGCAACTTTAGAGGAGCATCTGTTTCTTCGCCTTTTCCATCTTCTGGAGGAAACCTGCATTCCTCAGCTAGTGGCCTCCTCTTCCTTCTTCAAAGCCAGTAGCATAGCGTCTTCCAATCTCGGTATTATTCTGACATTTCTGCTTCTCTCTGATAAGGACTCTTGTGTTTACATTGGGACCACTTGAATAAATCAGGTTAATGTTTCCATCTCAAGACTGTTAACTTAATCATATCTGAAAAGTCTCTTTTACCATATCAATTATCATTCACAGATTCTGGTAATTAGCATGTGGACATCTTGTGGGGGACCATTACTTAGCCAACTACTTAGCCTGACATGGATAGTCAGAACTGTAGTAGAGTGAGGAGATTGTCTCTGTGGAAGGATGGCCTGGAGTGGAGTGTAAGAGTCCACACAAGATGAGAGAATGTCCTTGTAATGGGTAGCCCAGCATGGGGAGTCAGGGTAAAACAAGAATGGCATATACACAGTATATTAGTGTAGATGGGAGCTTGGATGCTTACAGGGGAATTGATTCAGTAAGTAAATATATTAAGGGTATGATATTAAAGATAATATATAAAACAATATAACTCAATCTGAAGAGACAAAGCAAACATCAGAATCAGACTCGGATATGACACAGATGTTGAAATTATCAGGCAGGAATTTTAAAGGAACTATAATTAATATGTTAAGAGGCCTAGTGGAAAAAGTAGACAACATGAAAAAACAGATAGGTAATGTCAGCAAAGAGGTGGAAATCCTAAGAAAGAATAAAAAGGAAATGCTATACATAAGTAAATAAATACAGTAACAGAAGGGAAGGATGCTTTTGATGGACTAGTCAGTAGACTTGACATAGCTCAAGAAATAATTCAGTGAGCTTGGAGATAACTAAATTAAGAACTTCCCAGACTAAAATTCAAAGATAAAAACAAAAGTGAGTGTGAGGGGGGTAGCACAACTCCAGAATGGAACACCCAAAAACTGGGGAATGATTTCAAAAAATGTAATAAAACTACTGATTTCAAGAAAACCAAGCAGAATATATTCCCTTAAAAGTATGCCTAGGAATATCATATTCACACTGCAGAAAAACAAAGACAAAGAGAAAATCTTGAAAGAGCCAAACATTAAATAAAACAGCTTACTTATGAAAAAACAAAAATAAAAATTACAACAGCCTTCTTGTCAGAAACCATGTGCTATTTATTTCTTATTGCTATTGTAATAAATTATCACAAACTTCCTAGCTCAAAACAACATACATTTTTATTTTCTAGTTCTGATAGCTAAAGTCTAACATTGTTCTTAGTGGGCTGAAATCAAGGGGTTAGCAGGGCTGGGCTTATGCTGCAGAGTCTAGCAGAGAATCTATTCCCTTGTCATTTTTAACCTTCTAGAGGCTGCCTGCATTTTTTTTTTTTTGGCTCAAGGACCCTCTTCTTTATCTTCAAAGCCCAAAATATTGGCCTGAGTCCTCCTCATGCAGCCACCTGTCTAGTTCTCTTTCTCCTGCCTCCCTTTTCTACTCAT